AGATTGTCTGACATATTGTCCCTTTAAATTAGCGATTTATGCTCTATATTTAGAATATTAAATCTTACCTGTGGTTCAATTAGCTGGACTAGGTGCAATAACTGTAACCTGCCAGTAGGCGTCACAGTCCACCTACAAATCTAATCAAGCGGGGCCTAGTGGTACATGTGAATTCACCCGTGACCAGTCTGAAATCTGATTTTAGAGCAGAATGCTAAAAGATAGACTGTGTGCTCTGCAGATGTCTAGAGCAATAGAATAGGCAAATGCAAACAAATCGTTAGAATGCTGCAGGACAGCTGGCTCAGATGGGGGAAGCCCACGTCTCACCAAAATGTTTGCAATGTACCCTGGTGGGAGGCAAACGGTAGGATGGGTGGGTACTTGAAGCCAATCTGAGGCGTACGAGAGATTCTGTATGAACTGCTGGCTTCATGCACAGGTCGCCGCTGGCTGAGGAAGGGCTCTCACCAAGCTGGGAACACTCAGAGGTGGCTGTAGGCAGTAGAGGCGGTAGGGGGGGGGGGCTTCTAAAACCAAACATTGGGCACCAGATGAAACCGCAAAACTCCCACATCAGTTAATAATTATAGATAATAAAAAAGGTTATGTATTTAAGGGGAAAAACTTACAGATCTCCATCCCAAACAATAGTCCTCTCATTGCAAACAGGAAATAGAGTCTAGCAGCCGGAAAGGGAGCCAGAAGCAAGAGAGAAAGAGCACATGGTTCCTGCTCCATTTTAAAGTCTAAGATACCACGCTCCAGTGGGCTGGTACCTTAAAGGCTATTGGCTGAAGGAGAAGAATGTGCTCCTGCAGCATTCCACCATTCAGTTTGGTTTTCCCTATCTTCCTCTATTCCCTGCATAGACCCAAGAGAGTTTTCTTTATTATCCAATGGTATCCACAGCATGCAGAGGGAACTCCCACATCAGGCTACTGTGAAGGGTTTATTTCTCTGAACTCTTCAAGTACATTCGTCATTTGTATATGAGTAGGTTTCTCATTTTGTGAGTAAAATTTCTATCTTAGTGCTTTGTCAAAGTGCTTTTCAGTTGTATGAGTTTCCCGGGGTGATTTTCAGGTAACTTATGGATGCTATTAGATTCTTTGCAAGTATAAATAGTTTAACTTATTCCTTTCTAATTCTTACTTGATCTACTTCAGTTGTCTTATTGCTCTAGATTAAACTTCAAGGACTGTATTGAATAGGTATGGAGAGTGGACAAGTTTTCTTTTAAGTTGATATTGGCTATGGGCCCACTTTAAAATGCATTTATTATGTTGAGATATGTCTTCTATTCATGTATCTCCAATCTCTCAGTCTTTTTTTTTTTAATGAAATACTGTTGGATTTTTGTCAAAGGATTTTATGCATCTAATAAGATGATGACATTTTTTTCTTTCAGTTCACTTATATGGTGGATTGCATTTATCAATTTAAATATTCTGAAGTACCCTGCATCTCCTTCTTAGATTTGGTTTGCCAGTATTTCATTGAGAAGTTTTGCATATATGTTCATAAGGGAAACTGGTATATTGTTCTCTTTTTGTGGGGTTTTTATATGGTTTTGAGTTTCAGGTTACTTCTGACCTCTGATATGAATTGGGCAATAGAATAATTTATAGAGTATTTGATTTAATACTTCTTTGGAAATCTGGTGTAATTTTGTGATAAAATCAACCGGTCCTGAGCTATTTTTAGTTTAAGACTTTAATGAATGCTTTTATTTCTGGAGAGATTATAGGTTTGTTTAAATTGCTTATCTGATGTTCATTTAACTTTGATAAATAAGAACTGTCAAAAAATTGTCCATTAGTTTAGGTTTTCGTATTTGGTGGAGTAGTGGATTTCAAAGTACATCATCATTATTATCTAGTTTTATAGGTGTGTGTAGTTATATTCCCACTTTCATGTCTAATTTCATTAATTTGGATTCTTTCTCTCTGCCTTTTTGCTGACTCACTAAACTTGTCAATCTTATTGCTATTCTCTAACAACCAACTCTTAATTTCATTGATTCTATGCATTTTATGTTATTTTATTTTTATTGCATTTATCCTTTAATTTGATTATTTTTTGTCATTTACTCTGTTTTTGGTGTGATTTCTTCTTTTTGTTCTAAAGTTTTCAAGTATGCTATGAAGTTACCAGTATGAAATTTCTCAGATTTCTTCATGAAGACACTTGTTGATATGAACTTGTCTATTAGAAAAGCCTATATTTTGTCCCATAACCCTTTGTATTCTTTTTTCATTCAATACTAGGTAGTCTTTAATATCTTTGTCAATATATTTCTCTCTTAACCCATGATTTATTCAATAGTCACTTCTTTGGTTTTCATTGGTTTTGTAAGCTTCTATTGTTTCTGCTATTGTTGATACCAGTTGTAATCTATCAGATCGGATGGATAAAGGGTGGTATTTCAACTTTCTTATGTCTGTTGAGACTTGCTTTGTGTTTGAGTATGTGGTCAAAAGTGGAGAAACTTCCATTAGTTTCTTAGAAGAAGATATATTCTTTTGTAAAGGGTAAAAATTTCTGTAAATATCTGTTGAGGTTTTTTTTGGTTTATGGTGTTAGATAATTCCAGAATTTCTGTTTTTTTTCTGAATATTCATTATTAGTGAGTGTACAGCATTGCTGTCACCCACTATATGGTATGTAAGGGTCAGTTTATAAGGGTCAGTATGTGATTTAAGTTGTAGTTGTGTTTGTGAACTTGACTTTATGCATAAATGTTAAAAATTGAAATGTCCCCTTGATGGTGATAAACTCTGATTAGAGTAGTATCCTCTATCTCTTTCATTAGTTTTGGCTTGAAGTCTGTTTTGTCAAGATAGTAACTGAATCCATCAACTTTTATCTGGGGTTCATTTCTTGAGATATATCTTTCAATTCTTTGACCCTGTTGTTTTTAGTGTCTATTTCTTGTATTCATCAGAAGAATGGATTATTTTTCTTTTTTTTTAACATACATTCAGTGGTCTGTGGGTCTATTTCGATCATTTGTGTTGAGAGTTATCAATGAGCAGTGTTTATTGATTCCTGGTTTTGTTTTTGTTTTATGTTGTTGTATTGTCCCTTCTTTTTAATTTTGGTCTGAGGTAATTATTTTCTGGTGTTTTCTAAGGTTTGGTTAACCTGTTCAGGTTGAAGCTTTCCCTACAGCACCTATAATAGGGCTGGGTTTTTAGACAGGAACTGTTTAACTTTGGATTTGTCATAAAATGTCTTTCTCCATCTATTTTGATTGACTGCTTTGCTGGAAATAGCAGACCGAGTTACATTTTTGTTCCCTTAGTGTTTTCAGAACTAATGTTCAGGAATTTCTGATCTTAAAGACTCAGTTGAGAAGTAAAGATTATTTTAATAGTCCTGTCTATTTATGCTATTTGGTCTTTTTCCCTTGCAACCTTTAATATTCTTTCCTTGTTCTACATGCTCAGTGTTTTGGTTATTATGTGTTGAGAGTAATTTATTTTCTGATTCAATCTATTTGGTGTTCTGTACACTTCTTTTACTTCGACAGGCACTTTTTACTTTAGTTTAGAGGGATTTTCTTGAAAAAATTTTCTGGGCCATTAACCTGTGTTTTTCCTTCTTTTATTCCTATTATTCTTAGATTTTGGTCTTTTCATGGTGTTCTAGCTTTTTTTGTTTTGTGTGTGTGTGTGTGTGTGTGTGTGTATGTTTGTACATGGAGTTTTTTAGATTTAATATATCCTCTGGCTGGGGTATCCATGCTTTTCTCTATTGTCTCAATTTCTTGAGTGTTTTTCTTTCTTCTTTTTATAATCTGTTAATGAGCTTTTCTGTGAGGGTCATGTTTAAGTTCCTAAGTTTTAAATTTTCAGCATTATCTCTGTTTGAGTTTTATTTATAAATCCTATATCTACTCTTTGGTGTTGAATTACTTTATTCATTTTCTTTGAATATTTCTCTATTGACTTCTTTCATTTTTAAGAAATTCTATCATAGTCATAGAAGCTATTTCCAATTCATAGTCTTGGACTTCAGCTATGTTGTACTGATCAGGGCATACATTAGTAGGGTTGATAGGCTCTAGTGGGTGCTTATACATGGTTAATTAATGAATGAGGGACAGTCACAGCCCAATTCAATGCATTTGAGGATCACATGGTGCCACTGCAAAGCAGAGTGGGGACAAGAATTGAAACTGAGTGAATTTGTGGGAAGGGTCCCGATGTTGGGGCAACATCTGTTGGGGTCCATCCTCAATTGGATTAATATGTTTATTTTCCATATGCTTATATTCCCAATCCAGAAGTTTGGGAAAAGGGCAAAAGAGCACTTTAACTTGATACTTTAACTATCAAACAAAGGAATTACCTCTTTAATACTTGAAACATCAAACAACTGTATCTGGAGTTAAGGATATGTTGTTTATGCAGGAAATGCAGCAATCACACCTTGGACCAAGTATCCTGTATGCAGTCATTCCCTGGGTAAAGCCTTCTGTCATATCCTTGAAGGAGCAGGAATAGGCTTGAACTCTCTGACTTTCAGTCAAGGTGGAAGAGATTTTCTCTATGGGCCACCTTAATACATAAAACACCAAACAACCACACCATAAGCCAAGACATCTTGTTTAAAGCCACACCTTAAGCCACCCCTTTGTCAATAGCATTGAAGAAGCAAGAAAACGTGTGAGCTCTCTGACCTGTAGTCAATGTGGAATGGATCCACTCCTGTGGGCTCCCACATGTGTGTCAGCTAAAAGTGTCAAATCCAAAAATTACCATAGAGTCTTTTAGAGCAAGGTTGCTGGTGGAAAAACAGAACACTGAAAGCAAACCACAAGAATGAAGAATGCCACCCATCAAGGAAGACAGTCCAATCCTTTCTTCCAGACACCAGCACAACACTCAGTCCCCACTTCAAGGTGAACTGCATGTTTGACCACAATAAAGTCACTGCACAAAAGATGAGAAACTAGAAATGATACTTGAATTTTAATTTTTAAATGATTTTATTTTCACAAGCATTAAAAGTGAAAATAAAGTCCCTGCAGGAATTATAAACACTCATTAGTTAGAGGAAGAGTTACAAAACTTGTAATTTCAAGTATTTGAAAGCTCCCAGAATTCACACTGCAGTGTGGACCTTGAGAGACTCAGCAGTTTAACACACTAAGCAAAGGCTGATTTTTGAAGTGGATATAACATCTCTGGAAATGCAGTCTTCTGCCAAGTGATTGTTTGTGGGCATCAGGCTGCTCACACAAGAGGGTACTGGGCAAATGAAACAATTCCACAGTGGTTGTTTCTGTCCTTGGCGATTTTCATGTAGCCGTTCATGCCCCAGCTTTCTCCCCAGCTGAAATAAATCATATTTTCCATTTAGTAGAAAACTTACCAAATGATGGATTTGTTAGGATACTGGTAAGAGGCCAACCTATCAAAATGATCTGGAAAGTCAGAGGGTCTAATCTTGAGTACCAAGCGGTGCCTCACAGAGGAATGTGAACATCGCAGCAGAATACCTTTCTATCATTACATGTTTCAAAACTATCAAACGTGTAGCATTGTACAAAATCAATGTCACACACATGACATTGATACCCTAGAAACCAATGAAGGATTGGGAATTTTATGAGAACATACTGTTAGTAAGTTCTTAGAGCTTCAGGGAGCTCAGCAGTTAAAGAGCTGAGATCTGTTTCAAGAGCGACTGGAAAGCCAGATTGATATTATAGTATGCCCGTAAACCTCATTCCTGAGACATGGACACAGAACCTACCAAGAGCAAGCTGGCAAGCCAGATTAAATAGTTAACTCTTAGATCAGAAAAGAACACTGCCTTAATATAGAAGTTATATAATGATTGAGAAACAACTGATGCTGACATCAGACCTCTACACATGTTCACTTGTGAACACATGTCCGCAGATGTGCAAACAGTCAAATGCACTTCATCTATGCACATGGGAAAACAAGAAAAGATTCTTTCAAATTAAATGAGACATAATCTTTTAACTTTATATCAAAATATTGCCTGAAAATTACAATTTCATCAAAATCCCCTAGACGTGCATCCAGTATCATTAACCACTGAACCATCTCTCCAGCGCCTGGAATTTCAGATAAAGATTTTTACGACAATTTATACCTGTTCTTGACCAGCCAGTAGTTATTGCCATCTGTTTCATTTCCATCAAATCCATAGCCAACCACCAGAAGTGCATGACTCAAATTATATCTTCTGCAATTTGGTTCATGATAAATGCCTGAGAAATAACACAGAAACTGATGTGAGATGCACAGGACACCTGGCAGTGACCACAGCCACCAACAATAAAACTATTTCAGCCATCACTGAAATGATATAAACTACAATCAGACTTAAGCTAGTTAATTGTTCACAAGAATGCTAATACTCACACATGAGTCGCACACACACACATAGATACAGAGTTTCACAGAAAACTGAAACAATCCAAACTAGTGAGATTTATTGGTAGCTACTAGCTGCATGCATATAAAATGACTCCTTAGAACTTTACAGTTTTGCTACTAGTGTCTCATGCCAAGTTAAACTTACAGGACAAAAATTATTTAATTTCAAGGCTCTGTTATAATTAGATTTCGGATAATCAGTTTCTATAAACAGCTAAAAGGTCTATGAGAGGAGTTGAGAAATTAGTTAACCAATATCTTTTATTAAATGGGACACATTAACTTTCATATGGGGGTTCATACCCATTGAATTAGTACTTAGGACACTTATACAGAGATGAATAAAATCCAAAAACTTAACCATTCATATCACAGTTTTACATATCAGCCAATCTGAGAACGTTTCATGGCAGAGATGCCACAATGGTTTTTTCTTCAAATCTAGAAGGAAATATACTAACCATCTTTGTAGAACATAAGGGACCCATGGTAAGCATCAATTCCAACAGGAATGGGTCCTTTAGTTGCTACAGCATCCATTAAGACATCCTCATCTTCTGGGAGGGCCACAAATTCTCTGATTTTAGCAGCTACATTCTGAGGATTGTATCTGCAGGGTCCTTCCTTTAAAGGTAAAGAGATAAGAGACTCAGTTTCTTCCCTCCATGTCCTGGGAAAGAATCACAACCACCACACTCTGCTCTTTGTAATTGAGCACATAAAAGTTTGCTTGTTATCCTTTTTTTAAATTTATTTATTATGTACACAGGGTTCAGCCTCCATGTATGCCTACAGACCAGAAAAGAGCACCAGATCTCATTACAGATGGTTGTGAGCCACCATGTGGTTGCTGGGAATTGATCTCAGGACCTCTGGAAGAGCAGGCAGTGCTCTTAATCTCTGAGCCATCTCTCTAGCCCCCAGCACATAAAAGTTTGGATTATTGTAAATCATCCCAGGAAGTGAAACAGTACTGAAATAGCTAGAATTGAAAATAAGTTCTCTTGTCCTCAGTTACAACCAATACAACCTCCTATCCATAAGAATTTTTATTGCTGCAATGTAAGTAGAGAATGTGCTTTCATATTCCAGCCACCAGACCCAAATAATCATCTAGAAACTATATTAGTTAAATCAATATTTGGCCAATGCCTCAGGCATTTTCATGGCTAGCTCTTATATCTTCAATTAACCCATTTCTATGAATCTATGTATTGCCACATGACTGTGGCTTACCAGTAATGTTCAGCCACATGGAATCACCTTGACGCTGATTTCTCTCTGTCTCTGACTCTCTCTCTCTGTTCGCATTTCCCACCTAGCTTTACTTCACTATGTCACTGGCCAAAACAGCTTTATTTATCAACCAATAAAAGTAACACATATACAATAGGATAACTACATCACTGAAGAGATCTCTATTATATGTACACTACATTCTATATTCTCTATGTATATAAAAGGGAAATACACCAAAATAATCACACCAAAAATATATGCAAAGGTCGATACTTAATGACTAAATGACAGTGTAGAGAGAGATTCTACCATCCAATCTGAGTGCCGAAGATACTGTATTTTATCTACAGTTGTCTTTCACTCAATGTTGAGATGAAATGACAATATATGAGGTCCACTTACTTTTCCTTCATATGGGTAGGTCGCCTCAGCCTCCACACCTCCATTGTGCAAAACATACCGAAAGGCAAAGTATGTGTTACCCCAATCACAGCCGTTATTGCCATGAGGTTTAGAACAGTCCACTAGGTTCTGGACACTCAGAGGAATGAGTTTGCCTGTCTTTTTGTACATTTGTCCTTCTATGGCACCAGTTGCAGCAAAAGCCCAACAAGAACTGCAGTTACCCTAAAGTGAAGAAAATATGGTCTTTCATAAACAAATACTAATTCAGGTAACAACATAAACAGGTGAATAATTTGTGAAAAGAAGTACTGGCAGTTGATAGATGCCTAGAAGTTCTCAGTCTAGAAAACTTGGATGTGGTAGTGTGCACATGCTCCTGTGGGTCCCCCCCCCATTTGTGAAAGACTTTTGCTTTTATTGGTTATTAACAACAATAGAAGGGACATAACTCTACAATGAGATGTGGTAGAAGTTATTATCTGGGAACATGTTTGGTGGTCTGTCAAGATCAATATATATTGGAAAATGTATGAAGATTTCAAAGAAAAAAATACTATGTAAAAAACGAGCTTTGAATCTCTCCTTATTCAATAAGAAAACAGAGAGACACTAAGTTCTTTTCTCTTTACTATGGCTTAAGAAGAAGGGCAGGTGGTAAATTCAAACCTGTTTCCCCACAGGGGTCACATATCCTTCTTTTCGCCAATCCACAAATTTGGGTAAATCACTAAGAGCTCGTTTCCAGATGCCTTTCCCACTCTTGAGAGTTCGCATTGGGAAATCAACCATCATTTTCTTGAATTCTTCATTGGTCTTCAAGAAAGCATACATAAATGATTATAAAAGAAAAGACTCCATGTAAAGCACACAAGAGGACACAGTGTGAAGTAATACATGTCACACTCACCATGTCACCAAAGGCGTTCATTTCCATGGTGTAGCCATTCTTCCCCAGGCCATTCTCCCCATTGTGAAGTTTAATCATTTTCATGTTCTTTTCCCATACTGTTCTCCTCAGTGCTTCTTCCTCCTGGATAAGAACAAAAATGGGTGACATTTCTTTATAATTAAACTCCTGTACAAGTTGATGTAGATTTGCTGTCCACGTAATTAAAGGCCCAGGAGAGCTAGTCTAGGACACAACAGTCAGGCGTTCTCCTTATACTGATGAAAGGGAATCTGGCTACCCATTGCTCACAATGTTCGTGATTAAGGAATCTTAGTGGTGGTAGTTGTGGTGGAGCATCTATGACTTCTAAAATGTCCAGACACTTCCACTCTGAGGCCCTTCTGGACAGTTTCCAGGATACCAACCAGGCTGTATGATTTTTCATAGAGTATCTTCCACTCTTCCCATTCAGCATCCAAACTGGGATCAAGTGCTGAAACACGTGACCCAACTCCTAAGCACAGGACAACCAGGAAGATAACAGGAGCCATAGCTGAAGAGCCTGGATAAGGAAGAGAAATGAAGACATAACTACAGAAATAATTTTTATGCCTTCTTACTCCTTCATAATAAATTAATCCATTGTGGTCAATAAATTTTTGGAATTATACTTTCAAATAATTTTTGAGAGACTGCAGAAAAGTTGTAGGATGTGTTTGACTCAGTCATCAAATGATGATTATTAGATTCTATACAAAATGAAGAGCATGAGTCCAGAATTCTAGCAATGAAACTTTAGGTGAAATGCATCTTATTACTTCAGAAATGTCTTCACCCATTGTGAGGAACAGAAGCAAAAAAGCTATCATAGTCTAGGATATCACTGAGTCGTTGTTTATACCAAGCAAAACTTCTGTCACATGGTATTGGATTCTACTTTCTAGGTGAGCTTAAGGATTGAAACTACATGGCGTCATAAGACTTTCTAATATGCGTAAAGTACTGGGCTTGACATTAACCCTCCCTTCTTTAAATAAACCATTTTAAAATATCTTCTATAAGAATGTTGGAAGAGTCATTTACTACTCCTTGTGTTCTACCCTTCGAACTGTGAATCATATTCTCAGCTCACAACCTATATCAGAATAAAATCACAAAAAAAAAAAAAAAGAAGACAAAAACAAAAAAGTAGGTGGAATACAATAGCAAGATGATAGTGAAATTATAAGATTCTGAACTTGCTGGATCTCTAAAGCAACACTGCCCATAGCACTTGATAGGAACATACCATCTGCAACTACGTCTGTCCATGTGAACTGAAAACAGATCCATTCTGGGGTGTGTGCAAGAGATGATCTCTTCTGGAACAGCAGGTGCCAGTGATATTTACTGGTATTCAAAGGACCTGGTGTAAATCTCTGTGGGCAGATCCAGACTTTCACATAATGCGACCCCACACAAACAGACCTATAAGGGATCTGGTGTCATCTTTGTCTTTGCTACCTATTCCACTATACCTGCACACACCAGGGTTTCTGAGATTAGACCACAGTCTTTGGTATTGATTTTCCCTGGAGTCTCTCAACCCTCACCCCACAAGTACTGATATTCTGGCTTGGAAAATCATGGTCTTACCTCTCTGTGGTGATGGCCACTGCCTTAGTCAACTCCACGGTCTCAATTCCTCAGAGGTTGTTGAGGTTCCAGAGTCTGACACAGCAGTAACTTACCCATGCTATAAATCTCAAATATCTACCCATTTGTACCCGCCCGTCAATCATGCTCTCCCTTTGATTGGCTGTGTTACTGACATGAATAATTCTTCAGGCACTAGTACTTCAGGCTCTTTCTGAGAGATAACCTCTCACTTTCCCTCTGGCATGGCTGTGGGATTCCTCTCTGAACAACAGGAAGCTGACTTTGTGAATCTTGTCAAAACAAGTTGAATAGCAGTCCTGTAGGCTTTGGATCACAGTGTACTGAGCATCTTGTTTTTTGATTACACTTTCTGGAAAAGATGTGTGATGTGCCTTTGCAGTTAGAATGTGCGGCTTTGTTTATCATCCCTGGCAGGAGTTAATCAATGCATACTATTTTGTGTTTACTCTTCAGCTACGATTGGATCATAAAGAACATAGACTCTTGGGGTGCTCTATTTCCATTTGTCGATATGTAATTCATTAGATCTCACAAGACATTTAGGAGATATGAACCTCAAAGGGGCAAGTGGTTTTCAAGGTTCAAGTATAAGAGGGAAAATAAATATCAGGCTGTGGCTGCATCTCTTGAAACTCTGACTTTTCCCTTTTGGATGTTTAATGGGCCCGCCATCTAGAAGCACCATTTACCTGGCATTCTTCATTTTCCTAGCACAACATCAATTCAAAGTTACTATATTTACTGCTTCAGGACCCATCCTGGTGGACTCAGGGACAGTCACTCACATTGTATTGCATTCAGAACCTTTGTGGTAGGATGAAGCATATTTTTGTTACATACCCATTGTGGTAGAGCTGAGTCTTGAGGTTGATTGATTCTTAACTTCCTGAAGCATCTTCACACATTTTTCATAGAGGTTTACAAGTTTGCAGTCTTAAAGCAATGTATGACTGCCTGTCCTGTTATTCAACATCATCATCAGTATGAACTGCCATCTCTTTTGTTGACCTTAAGTATCTGTCTTAGCTGACAGATGAAAATGAAATCTCAAGGTAGTTTTGGTTTGTCTTTCCCTGATGACTAACAGTGCTGAACATTTCTTTAAGTGTTTCTCAACCATTGAGTTAACTCTTTTTAGAATTCTCCATGTAGAGCTATACCTCAGTTTTAATTGTATTATGCTTTCTTGATATAAAATGAAGAAGGAAGGTGATTGTGTGATCTTGAACGTTGAACACCCTGTACCACACAATAGTTTGGTCCAACTATTCCCAGTAAATGTGGATTAAATATAAACTGCCTTTTGACTTTCGAGTCTTTTCCTTGACCCAAAAGGAAAATGAAAATTGCTTGGCCAAAAACACTAATCAAAATATAACCTATGGTCCAAATCTTTCTTTCCTGGGATCTGTGATAAGACCACCAACTCACTCCAGTAATATTGTCTCTCTCTTAAGGATTACTCAAATATCACTTGATGGTATACTTGGATCTGTGTTACTGCCTCCTGTGAGTTTTAAAATTCTTCTAAAAATTCTTCATCCTTAATTTTTAATATATTTTGAAGATCCTGTAAATACTGGGTAAAAAGTTGGCTCACCCTGTACTCTTTGTGTCTAAAATACCCCCAATAATTATCTCCTCAGATAAAGAAGTTACAGTGAGGATTTCTAAAGAAGGATAGATTGATGTGAATTAGTAAATCCATATTTCATACACTATAATCACCCTGGCATAGTTCTCAAATATCAGGGGAGCTTGTTAAATACCATTAGCACACTAACCTTTGAAAGGTACCCATGTGTGAAGAACTGAAGTCAGCAAGCAGGAGAGGAGGACAGGAAATCTTTTTTCTTCATTACCAGGAGAAGTATTACACAGAAAACATCACATCTCATCTATGTGTCTAAACAGAAGAGCTAGTTCACCTTGTACTTTGAATATTTTCAATACTTTATTAATTTTTCAAAATTTCCACCTCCTCTACTACTCCTATTTCCTTCCCACTTCTTCCTCCCCCTCCAGTCCTAAGAGAGGGCAGGGTACTCAGACCTGTGGGAAGTCGACGGCCCTCCTCCCTCCATCCAGGCCTGGGGGGTGACCATCCAAACAGACTAGGATCCCAAAAAACTAGTACATGCAGTAGAATCAAATCCCAGTGTCATTATCATTGCCTTCTCAGTCAGTCCCCATTGTCAGCCACATTCAGAGAGTCTGGTTTGATCACATGCTCTTTCTGTCCCAGGCCAGTTGGTGTTTTTTGAGCTCCCCTTAGATAAGTCACACCGTCTCAGTGGGTGAACAAACCCCTCGTGGTCCTGACTTCCTTGTTCATTTTCTCCCTCTTTCTGATCTTCAAATGGACCTTGGGAGCTCAGTACAGTGCTCCAATGTGGGTCTCTATCTCTATCTCCATTTATCACCGGATGAAGGTTCTATGGTGATATTCAAGATATTCATCATCATGGCTATGGGATAAGGCCAGTTCAGGCACCCTCTCCTCTACTCCACAAGGACCTAGCTGGGGAAATTCCCTTGGACACCTAGGGATACCTCTAGAGTCAAGTCTCTTGCCAACCCTAAAATGGCTCCCTTAATTAAGATATCTTCTTCCCTGCTCCCATATCCACCCTTTGAATTTTTATTTTTTGCTGTTCTATAGTGTTTTCTCCACTTTATTTGTCCAGTTTTACAAACTCAAGAATATACCACTAAGACCCTCATTTGGCAGTATATGTTAGTTGAGGGAAAAAATGGTCAGAACACATGAAAACACTTGAGTGACCTTGGACCAGGCAATTACAGAGAACTCTACCTTGAATAGTCATACAGGTGAACTTCCATCACTCTGTATCCCAGTGACAAATGTTTCTGGACCTGAGTCAGATGCTCTCTGAGCCCTAAGAGATAGATACAATCAGCATGAAGGAGCTAGTCAACAGGAACGGAAGCCTTGGGCCAAAACAATCCAATTCTCCTGAGTCACATCTACGCAAGTGCCTCCTGATAGACGTAAGGAGAACCTTTACTCTCTTTCTCTGTCATGTAGCTGACTTCCTTACACCCTTTCACCTCTATATCTGCCTTGTTGAAATGCCCTTCGTCAGTTAAGAACCAAATGTCGAAATATATCTCAGCAGAGAAATGTCTCAGTGTAATAATTGTTCATGAATGAGCAAAAAAGAACATACTCCATATTTTAAAATTGTGACAAGGCTTCATTCATGGGTACTCCCTGCCGTAGATGAATTCGTGCTCCTCTGAATTTCTGACCACCAGGATCAACTTCACTCATAAGGGACAAATAATCTGTTTCTTTGCACCAAGGACAATGCTCAGGTGCCAAAATGACCAAGCTTTCTGCAGAGTGCTGGAGCATATGGACGGTAAGACATTAGGCACTTAGGATATCCACAAAAGATATGTCTTTTGAATATGTTCAGTACATTGATACAAATATTTCTTATGATACCAATATAACTGGTAAACAAATATTTCAGCAGGCAGGAAACATCTGTTGTGTAGCAATGCTGCTGTTGCTGGGTTCTTCTGTAGAAATTCTCTGGTGAGCACTCTTGGAAGACTTCATGCTTGACTCACCTGAGCTGTGAAGTCCCTCATTTGCGGCATCATGAGGGTGGCAATGGGAGCCATACAGGATATTCTTTTGAGCTTAGATAATGGTTATGACTGACAGGAGGCCTATGTAGGCCTACCTACAATATGAAAGGCAGTGGTCAGTGAGGCCAGGGCCTAAATGGAATCTTTAGTCCTCTCTAAAATAGGCATCAACACCCAGGCTAGAGAATTTATGTCTTTAGAGGACTTCAGTATCATCCTACACTCATTCCCATAGTTCCATTATTTTTAATCTTTTCACTGGGCAGTAGCTTTGTACTAGCAGGGCTCACAGCTGGGGCTGCCTTCCCAGCACACCATTACCAGCTTGGATTTAGCTCATTGGCATATCTCAGATATATCTTGGGCTAGGCTCAAATCTGAGCTGCCGAGTGGCCTTCCTGTAGCTTGCTTATGATGCCTAGCTCTTACCAGAGTCACTGGTGGCAAAGTGTGATCTCATATGCATTACATCATTCTTACTCACACAACATGTTTCATAAATTATCCATTTTTCTTCCTTACATCTAAATTCAGAGACATATGGTGAGATATTGTGTTTTTTTCCTAGACATAATTAATATTCATACTATGCCATCATCTCTTCCCTCATTGTGTCACACACAGAGAGACCTAGGAGAATTACAACAATGAACAACATTTGTTTTTGAATCTGAAATTCTACATAATTTATAGAATACACAGAACTGTGCATTAAGCCCTGAGCACAAAATGGCTAGTACAGGAAAAGCTTGAAAGGAAACCACAATCCTCCAAAACAATGCAGTCAGAACTGCCATAGCAAAAACCATTTTCAGCCTCACCAATTTGGTTCTATTGTGGCTCTTGTTGCTATGCTAGACATCATGACCATGATAATAAAAATTGATTTCACAATTTATAGATCATCATTGGGACGAATGGGATCCATGGCATATGTTTGAAGTAAAATCTATGCTCAAATGTCAAATTCTGCCTTACTCCCAGCCCCATGTTCAGCTACAGATTTTGTATAGTCCAGGCCCACCTGTGTAGGAATGGTGTCATCCCCAGTGGGATGGGCCCCTCTGTGTCAATTACCAATCAAGACAAAAACCCCAAACACATGCGCACAGGCCAATCTGATGGAAGCTCTTTCTCAAAAGAGGGTTTCTTTCCCATCTATGTTTAGTTAACAAACAGAATTAACCATCACAGCTTGTATGGTAAACATAGTCTGCTAGCCTTTATCATGGAGAATTTTTCCCTGTCCTTCAACTCTGTCACATAATTTTGCTGATAATGTTACTGGACTGGCATCTGTGATCTCTTAGAAATAAGAGCACGTTCCTCTAATCCTTTTCGTCTTGTAGTTTATATTGAGGATTTACTTGTTATTCTAATGGGTTTGCCCTTGTTTGTGATTTGTGAATTTTCTCTGGTAGTTTTCAATCCCTCTTTTTGTTGTGGAGTTTCTGTTCTGGTGCTATTTGT